ATATACACATATATATATATATATATACATATATATATATATATATATATATATATGGCATGAATGAAAAAGCATCTTGTGAAATACAGTATGCAGTATGTCTTGGTCATTGCAATATGATTGTGTGTGTGCAGCTACTGAGGGACTGCAGGCTGGTTCAGAGGATTTTGGATGCTTGGGAAGAAAATGACAAAATACAGTAAGGACACATTTAAATATGTGTGAGCTGAGGGGTCAATATGCTGGTTGAGTATTTGTATATTATATTAATGTATAGTAATAAAAACATCTGTCTGTGTGTGTGTGTTATAGGGAAGCTGGAGGCATGAGAAAAGGCTATATGGGTCATATGACCAGGATTGCAAACACAGTGGTGCAGAATGCAGAGAGAGAACAGGAACAGACCCAAATCGCACGGCTAATAAAAGGTAGCTGACTCACACACTGCGACTGTTTTTGGGTGGATTTGTGTGTGATTTACATATTATATTCTTATACACATTCTTTATCTTCAAATATTTGGTATGTTTGTGTATGACAGAGCTACCAGAGGACTATAAAGAACGCTGGGAGCAGTTTGTGAATGAAACGCTAACAGAAACTAACAAGAAGAACACAGCAGACCTGGTGAGATTTCACACAAAGACACAGTGAAATCATAGGAAGTATCAAAAACATGAAGAACGAGAGTCCTCAAATCATCTTTAATAAGCATCTTTCTCTTAACTCAGGTGTTCTCAGATTATCAGATCCAGCAGATGACGGCGAACTTTGTTGATCAGTTTGGACTGAATGACGATGAATTCGGAGACCATGACGGCAGCATCAGGTGATTTCCTGTACAAAGGTTTAGATTTAGAGATTGAATTATTAAATTAATCCGTAGTTAAATAATTGTTAATTATTAAAATATGTAAAAAAAATATCAAATTCATTTAGATGTACAATATACCTGTTTATAAAAATATTTTTTCTTAAAGTGCTCCTGTTATGGGTAATGAAAGTATGGGTCATCTAACCAGGATTGCCAATACAGTGGTGCAGAATGCAGAGAGAGAACAGGAACAGACCCAAATCTCACAGCTAATAAAAGGTAGCTGACATGCTGAGAGTGTTATGGGATTTTTGTGTGGTTAATATATATATATATATATATTTCTTATACACATTGTTTGTCTTCAAATATTTGGTTATTTTGTGTATGACAGAGCTACCAGAGGACTATAAAGCACGCTGGGAGCAGTTTGTGAATGAAACTCTAACAGAAACTAACAAGAAAAACACAGCAGACCTGGTGAGATTTCACACAAAGACACAGTGAAATCATAGGAAGTATCAAAAACATGAAGAACGAGAGTCCTCAAATCATCTTTAATAAGCATCTTTCTCTTAACTCAGGTGTTCTCAGATTATCAGATCCAGCAGATGACGGCGAACTTTGTTGATCAGTTTGGACTGAATGATGATGAATTCGGAGAGCATGACGGCAGCATCAGGTGATTCCTGCACTAAGGTTTAGATTTTGAGATTAAATTATTAAATCAAAAATATGTCAAATTAATTTAGATATTGGTATAAACATCTTTAAAATATTTTAAAACAGCATTTTTCTTACATTCTTGTTTATGTAAAGCTACCTTAATTAGGAAAAAAAATGAGTGCTTCATATACATATGCGGTTACATGATGTCCAGCAGTTTAATTAATTTAATAATTTTTTATGAAAAATGTAATTATTATGTTTATTGTTTCAGGTTTAAATTTATTAAAAGGCAGGGTTGGGTGATTTGGTTAAAAAAAATTTTTATGTTATGTTGGCTGAAAGTCTCTACACATCCTGATAGCAATCGTTATTAATGTAATATTATGTATTTGAAGAGTTCATTTGCAAAAACTGATAAACGGCACTTTAAAAAAAATTTTTTTGCCGTGCATTATTCTCCACATATAGCTTGATCTGAACCCTAAACACGTTTTGTCAAATACCGGCTTTGTCCACTTTCAAGGCATCGCGAGTTCATGTTTTACTGCAGAAGCCGACAAGCGCCTTTGTTGTTTTTGAACAGAAGCCGATAAGTCCATTTTAGCAAATCAGCGCGCTGTATTCAGGTCAGGTGACAAGGCTACTTTCACTTTGAAAAGGCGTGCTAGCTGTTAAAAGTGATCGAGGATGGATAATTTCGACAAACTTGATGAACCTGTGATATCTTCTTCAGGGCGAAAAAGGAAAATAAAAGCTGAAATGTTTTCACGGAACCTTGCAAAAGCAGCGCGTTACAATGGTGAGAGAAAAGCTCCGTGTATTGCGTGTAATCACATCCATACACTTTATGATCACAACAACAACAATGTTTGTCAGGCATCTACATTGTCATCTGAGGAGATTACAAGGATTAAACAAGTGTTTTTCTTTTAAATCTAAAATATGAAATGTGGTGTTATCTGCTTTTGCCAAAAACGACTGTTGGAGTTATCTGCTTTTGCTATAAAACAAACTTTTATATTACTGTTTTTACTGTATTTTTTCAATCAAAATGCAGCCTTGGTGACACTTTTGAAAAGAAATATATATATATATATATTTCTTATACACATTCTTTGTCTTCAAATATTTGGTTATTTTGTGTATGACAGAGCTACCAGAGGACTATAAAGCACGCTGGGAGCAGTTTGTGAATGAAACTCTAACAGAAACTAACAAGAAAAACACAGCAGACCTGGTGAGATTTCACACAAAGACACAGTGAAATCATAGGAAGTATCAAAAACATGAAGAACGAGAGTCCTCAAATCATCTTTAATAAGCATCTTTCTCTTAACTCAGGTGTTCTCAGATTATCAGATCCAGCAGATGACGGCGAACTTTGTTGATCAGTTTGGACTGAATGATGATGAATTCGGAGAGCATGACGGCAGCATCAGGTGATTCCTGCACTAAGGTTTAGATTTTGAGATTAAATTATTAAATCAAAAATATGTCAAATTAATTTAGATATTGGTATAAACATCTTTAAAATATTTTAAAACAGCATTTTTCTTACATTCTTGTTTATGTAAAGCTACCTTAATTAGGAAAAAAAATGAGTGCTTCATATACATATGCGGTTACATGATGTCCAGCAGTTTAATTAATTTAATAATTTTTTATGAAAAATGTAATTATTATGTTTATTGTTTCAGGTTTAAATTTATTAAAAGGCAGGGTTGGGTGATTTGGTTAAAAAAAATTTTTATGTTATGTTGGCTGAAAGTCTCTACACATCCTGATAGCAATCGTTATTAATGTAATATTATGTATTTGAAGAGTTCATTTGCAAAAACTGATAAACGGCACTTTAAAAAAAATTTTTTTGCCGTGCATTATTCTCCACATATAGCTTGATCTGAACCCTAAACACGTTTTGTCAAATACCGGCTTTGTCCACTTTCAAGGCATCGCGAGTTCATGTTTTACTGCAGAAGCCGACAAGCGCCTTTGTTGTTTTTGAACAGAAGCCGATAAGTCCATTTTAGCAAATCAGTGCGCTGTATTCAGGTCAGGTGACAAGGCTACTTTCACTTTGAAAAGACGTGCTAGCTGTTAAAAGTGATCGAGGATGGATAATTTCGACAAACTTGATGAACCTGTGATATCTTCTTCAGGGCGAAAAAGGAAAATAAAAGCTGAAATGTTTTCACGGAACCTTGCAAAAGCAGCGCGTTACAATGGTGAGAGAAAAGCTCCGTGTATTGCGTGTAATCACATCCATACACTTTATGATCACAACAACAACAATGTTTGTCAGGCATCTACATTGTCATCTGAGGAGATTACAAGGATTAAACAAGTGTTTTTCTTTTAAATCTAAAATATGAAATGTGGTGTTATCTGCTTTTGCCAAAAACGACTGTTGGAGTTATCTGCTTTTGCTATAAAACAAACTTTTATTGAACTTTTGGAATTTTAAATTTACAAGGAATTTTGTAAATTACCTGTATTTGCTTAAGTTATTATTACTTAATCAAAACAACCCAACTGCAGTTTGATTGATATTACTTGGAATGCGCTATAAAAAAAAACTTGATTTCTGAAACAAAAAAATAAAAATGGAGTTATCAGTTTTTGCAAATGAACTCTTCACTTGTACTGTAAGGTTTTCTCACCGGTGAATGAGAAGTGGTAGTCTGACAACGTTGCATTCAACCCTCCACCAACGCCATCTCTCATCATGGTTAGCATCTGATCTGCCTGTGCGCATTCATGTGTTTCAGAGGAGGCGTAGCTTTGGAGAGTGATTTGCAGGGAGGGTGGGCTCTTATGCTTTCAAAGCTAGTTTGCTATTGCTAGCCTCTCCAAAATCACCAACCCTACCTTTAAGATTCTGTGTCTGTTTTTCGTGCAGTGCCACGTTCGATCGAATCACGGAGATCAACTTTAAACTGGTTGATGAAAGGGTGAGTATTACTTAATGCCAATTCTCTATTATTTGTTCTATATTCTTTATATGTTTTTTTTGGGGGTTATAATTGCACCCTTTCCATGTCTTTGTGTCTTCTTCTCATTGACGCTCTTATAGCTACCTTTCTCACTCTTTTTAAAAAAAATTTTTTTATAACCCTTCCCTTTTCTCTCCTCTCTCAGACGAGCTCTGCCATCTTTGAGACTCGCACAAAGGAGCGAATCCGACCGTTTGATGATGCTGAGGAGGAGGAAGATATTTGGGAGGATAAAGAAATCAACTATGCAACACAAGTGAAAGCCAGAAGCAGGTTCATAAAACACACACACACGCATTCACACACTAAACAGCCATTGCTCTGACTGCTGTTTGTCTTCGATAGGTTTGGATTGGTGACAAACGCTCAGAAGAGTGAGGCGGATGGTGGCTCTCGCAGATGTCTGGGGTCACCTGACATTGAGTGGTTTCCGGAGACCAAACTAACTCCAGAAAAGACCAAGAACCACGACACGGCCAAGCAGTCCAGTGATCCGCAGAGTATGCTCACAGCTCACACAAACTAGATCTAGAAATCTCACCTGATCCAATAAAAATTGACTGGAAAAATTATCATCACCAATCAGGTCCTGGATGGATAGCGAGTTTTGAAGATGACTTCAGCTGTCGGGATTTCGTGAGTGTCGCCATGGATACGGGCTCTGGCGTGTGGGGGAGCTCTAACGCCCAGCTCAGTGAGACGGAGGAAAAGGGATGGGCGACTTTCACGGACTTTCAGCCCTTCTGCTGGTGAGGGAGAGACTGTGTTTGAGTTGATATTGTGTACTCATGTGTCATGTCATGTGGAGACTGTGTTAAACACTCTCATGCTCTGCAGTTCAGATGCAGGACCCAGATGCAGTTCACCTGTGGACTCGGAAAATCCAAACAAACAGAGCCAAAATGAAGAAAGTAAGTATATTCATTAAAGTTTTTGCATCATTCTTTCTTATACTAATGAACAACAAATACCAAATTTTGTGTAATGTTTTTCAGAAATAAACATGTTGGATTAACACTGTAAAGTGTTACCAAACTTTTAGAAGCTTCTTGCATTTTTTCATAAAAAAGATTTTTAAACTTCAGACTAACAAAATTTAGAAGTATATTTATTCAGTTGGCAGGCACTTTTATTCAAAGCAACTTGCAGTTGATGAATACAACAAGAGATGTATCATAAGATGGCAATAAACACGAGAAGTGCCCATTATACAAGGTTTCAGTCACTGTTCAAAATAGTAAAAAGCTAGGACAGGAGGATAATACGAGAACAGAAAAGGTGACGGCATAGAATTTAATTTAATTTATTTTTAATTATTATTATTATTATTGGAGGCAGTTAGATGCTCACGGAAGATATGAGTTTTCAGTTGTTTCTTGAAGATTGTAAGGGATTCGGCTGTCCGGATGGAGTTAGGCAGGTCAATCCACCAACAGGGTACAGTGAAAGAAAACGCCCTTGAGAGTGATTTTGAGCCTCTCTGCTATGGGACCACGAGCCACCGCTCATTTACCCACTGCAGGCTTCTGGAGGGGGTGTAGATACATACATGAGAGAGAGCGAAGGTAGGTGCAGAGCCTGTGGTAGTTCTGTAAGCAAGCACCAATGTCTTGAACTTGATGCGAGCCTCGACTGGAAGCCAGTGCAGAGAGAGGAGAAGCAGTGTGACATGGGCTCTCTTGGGCTCATTGAAAGCAAGATGTGCTGCTGCATTCTGAGTCATTTGTAGAGATCTGACTGCACATGTTGGAAGTCCAGCCAGAAGAGCATTGCAACCTAGAAATTACAAGGGCCTGGACGAGAAGCTGTGTTGCATGCTCTGTTAGGAAGGGCCTGATTTTCCTGATGTTGTGTGGTGCAAACCTGCATGATTGTGCTGTTTTTGCAATGTGATCTTTAAAGGTCAGCTGATCATCAAGGATCACTCCAAGATTCCTGGCTGTGAAGATTTCTCCAAGATTCGATGGGATTATCGTTGATGAGCCCAGTTGGATGGTAAACTGGTGCTGTACCCTGGGGTGGCTGGGAAGATGAGAAGTTCTGTCTTTGCCAGGTTGAGCTGCAGGTGATGCTCTTTCATCCATGCCGAGATGTCCGTCAGGCAGTCTGAGATCCGAGCAGGCACCGTTGAATCATCTGGTTGAAATGAGAGGTAGAGCTGCGTGTCATCAGCATAGCAATGATAGGAAATACCATGTGCCTGACTGATGGGTCCCAGTGATATAGTGTATATAGAGAAGAGGAGGGGCCCAAGAACTGAACCCTGAGGAAACCCAGTGACCAGTTGACAAAGATGTTATCTGTGATACAATTGCGTGTAAAGATGAGGTCGAGTTGGTTACCTGATTTTATGGGTACCTGTGGTGTTGATCCGCCGAAGATCGAAAGAGTCTAGGAGAGAGTGGAAGTCAGCAACAAGTGGCTTCTCAAGGTGGATGCTGAAGTCACCAAAAAGTACTAGAGGGCTGCAATCCTCAAGGAGCGAGGACAGCAGCATATCCAGTTCTTCTAGAAAGTTGCCCAGCTGACCTGGAGGGCGATAAATAACTACAATGTGGATTTTTACAGGGAGGGTGACTGTAAAGGCATGAAATTCAAAGGAAGTACTATTAAAGTTAAAAGAGCATGTGAGGTATTTCCAGCTTTTGGAAATGAGGAGACCAGTACCCCCACCTCTCCTAACCTGACGGGGTGTGGGTGAAAGAGAAGTTGTTGGAAAGGGCAGCAGGGGTTGCTGTGTCTTCAGGTTTAATTCACGTCTCAGTCAAGCCTAAGAGGCTAAGAGCTGACTTTGCATGATTGTGCTGTGTCCTGCGTGTTGTGCAAGAGTGTTTCCGTTGATAGACAAGAGGAACAGGAGTAATACTTTACATATTACATCAACATATTTATGATACTTTTGATTGTTGTTTGTTCTAAATGATGGTACATTAACATCAGGTCACGTGTCATGTGTAAATTAAAGGCTCATCAGCGTGTGTGTGGAGTGTGTGTGGGGCGAGGAAGGCTCCGCTGGTGGCGTCCGACAGCAGCTCCAGTGGGTCAGACAGTGAGGAAGAGGAGGACAGAACCAATGCCAACCAATGCATCGCCACGGCCAATGCCAAGGAGGGCGTTAAACTCAGTGTAGATGCAAAAAATAAGAAAGCAGTCTTCATCAGGTAAAACATCTTATACACATTATTGCATTACATCTAAGCATTATTAAAGGCACAATATGTAAGATTTTTTATTAAAATATCCAAAAACCACTAGAACAGAGTTATATATTTTGCTGACTTGTGTACTTGCATTATCCCAAATGTTTCGAAGAATGTTTAAATCCAGAGAAATAAGCTATTTTAACTAGTCTCACGGACCGTGTCCATAGTGTCATTGTGTTGCCTGCCAATGACATCATACACTCTCGAGTTCCGGTTTTGTTTTGTAGAAAACATGGAAACACCAAAGGCGCTTTTAATATGTTGTGCGTTTTAATAGACCGGTGACGACATTACACACAGAGTAGCATAATAACAGAACTTTCAAATGTATCTAGTATGATAAAACAGCACTGCTTTTTTTCCCCCACATACGCACGACCGGAAGCAGCGGAAGCGGTCGACTGTGGCATAATAAATACTCCGGTGCTTTCGAGCCGTGTGTCACTCATTCAGTGGCCTCATTTCGCTTCGACGGCTTTCAGCCTCGCCCTGCTTCATTCTACTACGTTAATAAATCATCCTGCCAATGACATCATACACTCTCGAGTTCCGGTTTTGTTTTGTAGAAAACATGGAAACACCAAAGGCGCTTTTAATATGTTGTGCGTTTTAATAGACCGGTGACGACATTACACACAGAGTAGCATAATAACAGAACTTTCAAATGTATCTAGTATGATAAAACAGCACTGCTTTTTTTCCCCCACATACGCACGACCGGAAGCAGCGGAAGCGGTCGACTGTGGCATAATAAATACTCCGGTGCTTTCGAGCCGTGTGTCACTCATTCAGTGGCCTCATTTCGCTTCGACGGCTTTCAGCCTCGCCCTGCTTCATTCTACTACGTTAAAGGGGTCATATGATGCGATTAAAATTTTTCCTCTCTTTGGAGTGTTACAAGCTCTTGGTGCATAAAGAAGACCTGTAAAGTTGCAAAGACTAAAGTCTCAAATCCAAAAGAGATATTCTTTATAAAAGTTAAGACTTGTCCACGCCCTCCTAAAACGCCTCGTTTAACCCCACTTAACACGCCCCCACATGTCTATGTATGTGATTTGCATAACACCGCCCAAATGTTCACGCAAAGAAAGAAGGCGTAACTTTTATTCTCGCTGTAGTATTGTTGTTGCCGCCGCCACCATGTTGTGGAGATGCTGTGTGATTCGTTGTGAAAGCGAAACTACATTGTTCAGTCTTCCAAAAGAGGACGATATCCACTTCGTCATGCCTAGAGCTGATCCATGCTGGTCGCTGAAGTCTGGCGCTTCTGACTCACAGACTGTAAGTACATTTTTTATATTTAAAGAATTTGCCACTGATGATTCAAACGTGAGTTTTGAGCAGTGTAGAGTAGTGCTTGTTGTTTGTCGTTTCTCCGATCACAAATGCAGACATGGTTTTATGTTTACGCGGCGCGATACGCAACGTGTAAATACTAGTGGTCGACCGAAATGGGTTTTTTGACAGCCGATGCAGATATCTTGGAAAGCAGGGTGGCCGATATAAAGCCGATATAATTTTATTTATTTTAATTTATATTTAAGAAATTTGAAATCATTTGAAAATGGATTAAAAATAATTGTGTAAAATAAACATACTTATACGTTAGAAGACAAAGCATTTTTCACAAATAAATAAATATTTAATAAAAATCTAATTAAAAAGGACTCAGTATTCTGAGAAGTTTGTGTGAATTATTATTTAATTTTTTTTTCAAATAAAGCCAAGGTAACACTCATTTTACATACAGTACGCAATGAAAATGACATGAATATGACAGTGGGCAACTGCATAAAGTGCAGCATAATTTGAACTCACGAGTTACTAAAGTCTCAAATCCAAAAGAGATATTCTTTATAAAAGTTAAGACTTGTCCACGCCCTCCTAAAACGCCTCGTTTAACCCCACTTAACACGCCCCCACATGTCTATGTATGTGATTTGCATAACACCGCCCAAATGTTCACGCAAAGAAAGAAGGCGTAACTTTTATTCTCGCTGTAGTATTGTTGTTGCCGCCGCCACCATGTTGTGGAGATGCTGTGTGATTCGTTGTGAAAGCGAAACTACATTGTTCAGTCTTCCAAAAGAGGACGATATCCACTTCGTCATGCCTAGAGCTGATCCATGCTGGTCGCTGAAGTCTGGCGCTTCTGACTCACAGACTGTAAGTACATTTTTTATATTTAAAGAATTTGCCACTGATGATTCAAACGTGAGTTTTGAGCAGTGTAGAGTAGTGCTTGTTGTTTGTCGTTTCTCCGATCACAAATGCAGACATGGTTTTATGTTTACGCGGCGCGATACGCAACGTGTAAATACTAGTGGTCGACCGAAATGGGTTTTTTGACAGCCGATGCAGATATCTTGGAAAGCAGGGTGGCCGATATAAAGCCGATATAATTTTATTTATTTTAATTTATATTTAAGAAATTTGAAATCATTTGAAAATGGATTAAAAATAATTGTGTAAAATAAACATACTTATACGTTAGAAGACAAAGCATTTTTCACAAATAAATAAATATTTAATAAAAATCTAATTAAAAAGGACTCAGTATTCTGAGAAGTTTGTGTGAATTATTATTTAATTTTTTTTTCAAATAAAGCCAAGGTAACACTCATTTTACATACAGTACGCAATGAAAATGACATGAATATGACAGTGGGCAACTGCATAAAGTGCAGCATAATTTGAAATCACGAGTTTAAAGTTTGTCGACCGCGCGTCTCCAGTGAAGCTGAACTCTCCTCATGTCTGCATTCAATTCACACGGATCGACCGTCGCCCAGAGAACACGCGATCATGCAGGATACAAATGCACACTTCACAAGATCTCAACTAGATTCGACTAAGTCTGCAAGGTTTGTGAAATTAAATGTTCATTAGTCATTCAAAGATTTGTTTAAATGATATAAATGCGTATTTGCTGAATGCTGACGGCAAATGAGAAAGTATTACAATGTTTGCCTTTATATTACTAATAATATTAAAGCAATCGTTATAATACTTTTTTGTATACATTTTAATTCATTTGTTTAACAGTTCTATCTGATTATTAGATAGACTTATATCCATATTAGACAGAACTGAAAGACGACATCGAACAAGAGGGAGAATGTGAGCTGTGTGCGCTCAGGCGCTGCGGCTGCCGTTCTCAGCGCCGTCAAAATAAAAGTCCCGCCTCGAACACATCGGCCAAACAGAAAAACTTATCGGCCAGTGCCGATATTTGAAAAATGCCAAATATCGGCCGCTATATCGGTCGACCACTAGTAAAAACACAGTAATTATGTCCCCACTGAATGCAACAAATGCCTCGTTTGTAATGGGTTTTATTGGTTTTGTCTCGTCGTGCCGGGAGACACAGCATCACAGTATGTTAAGGGCCGTAACATTTCCATCACACGCTTGAGGTATTCAGCCAATCACAGCGCACTGGATAGCTGGCCAATCAGAGCACACCTCGCTTTTCAGACCGATGAGCTTTGTAAAAATCGACGCGTTTCAGAAAGGCGGGGCATAGAGGAGCAACAATAATGTACATTATGTGGAAAATAATGTGTTTTTTTAACCTTAAACCGCATAAACGCATTGCATTACACCAAATACACAACATAATGTTCTTTTTAGCAACATCATATGACCCCTTTAATAAATCATTAGCTCATGAACATGATTTCTGCCCGAGTCTCGTCAGATTGCATCGGCTGTGGGGATGAATGCGACAACTCCCATGATTCCACACTCAGTCACGGCGTCATCAAACTACGCCTTTGATTCATTTGTTCTTTGTTTATTTTGAATACGTGCCCTCTAGCAGTGAAAAATTACATATTGTGCATTTAAATTGTTTGCAGACAGCTGTTAAAAATTTGCATATCGGCTCAAGAAGTCTCAAAAAGCCTTCTATAACAAAATGTGCACAGTGATGTTCCTTCCACTGTCTTTCAGTGACACTCATGCCAGAGCAACAGGTGGCATGGCAACAGATGTCATAGCAACAGGAACCATCACTGGTACTCAGTCGTCCAAGGAGCAGAAGTGAGTGTTTTTCCATAGGAAATTACTGGACATGTAGTTAAAGTCTCTAAATGCAGCCCTGTCTTGTTCTACAGGGGCGACTCCAGTAGTAACGGCCCAGTGTAACAGCGTTTCACTCGCCGCTCGCCTCCATCCCCATGACAGTTGTTACTCCACCCATTAAATGTTAAAAGCTGTGGCTTCCCCGTTTTCAAACATTCGCTGCATTTGCTGTTTCCATCCATCTGCTGTGTAGTTACGTGGGTTTTTTTGGTTTGAGCATGAGCGGAACTCTAGATGATCTCTGTCTTTCCTAATGAAGACATCTTCACTGTTGGGAACACTGACCTTTGAACCCTGTGAGATCGGCCCCACTACAGTCTGTGTATGTGTGTTTGTTGAGCGTTGTGGAACTACAATATAATGCACATCCACAGGTGAATTCTCATGTATGCATAAATATGCTTGGTACATCAACAAGCGTGATTTATAGTGTTGTTTTTATGTTTCTGTTTTATATTTTCCACTTAGAACAAGGCAAGAGATCAAGTCTGTGTGAGAGAGTGTGTGTGTGTGTGTGTTCTGTCTTGATCGATATCTCGGTTTGCTGTAGCCCTTGGGCCCGGTACTGATTTGATTTCAGTACTGATTTGTTTGCACTTATGTTTCCAGCTCCGCCCACCATCCACACAAACACATATATGAGCAAAAATAATTGGGAGCAGGTCACAATATTTTTGTTTTGTTGAAGGCTGTTTTTATATAAAAGTATGGAAGCTTGTCTCCACCCCAGCAAATTTCAATCTCACTATTCTGACTTTTTTCCCCCTCAGAATTGCAAAAAAAAGTCAGAATTGTGAGATAAAATGTTAAAATAAAAATTGCAAGATATAAACTCAGAATTGTGAGATTTAAAAAAATGACAAGTTTATAATTGCGGAATGTAAATTTGCAGTTCTGAGGGAAAGAAAGTCAGAATTGTGTGCAAACAATTACCTTAATTTTTTTTTATTCTATGGCTGAAACAAGCTTCCATATAAAAGTATGGAAGCCCGTTTCCACCACTGAATAAAAAATAAAAAAGATAATTGCGACTTTTTATCTCGCAATTCTGACTTTTTTTCTCAGAATTGCGTGATATAAACTCACAATTGCGAGTTAAAAAGTCATAATTGCGAGACAAAGTCGCAATTCTGAGAAATAAAGTCAGAACTGCGAGATATAAACTCACAATTTTGACTTTTTTTCTTGCAATTGCGAGTTTATATCTCACAATTCAGTGAAAAAAGTCAGAATTGTGAGATAAAAAGTCGCAATTACCTTTTTTTAATATTTTTTTTTATTCAGTGGCAGAAACGGGCTTCCATTATAAAAGGGATAGTTCAACCAGAAGTAAAAATGTACTCACTCACTGTCTTGTTGTTCCAAACATGAATGACTTTCTTCTGAAGAACACAAAAGAAGATATTTCAAATAATGTTCGTGCATGGTAATTTTATATGGTCAAGTTCCAAAAATAACCATAAAATTAGTCATTATGACTAAAAATGGACTGAAATATTGTGGAACAATTTGTGAACGATTTCCCTCCACCATAGCTTAAAAATCTCATTTGCATTTATTCAGACTTGCTCCATCCCGATTGGTCAAAACGCTAGAAACAATGACATAATTTGCTTAAAACCTGATGTGTTTCGGTATGTTCCTCACACAGTATGAAATCTAGCGCACAAGTCGTATGTACGTCGTATGTCGTCTTTTATGTTCCACGAATGACAAAGTCTTACAAGATTTGAACGACACGATGAGGGTGAGTGAGTGAATGAATGAACAGTGACTATTCCTTTGAACATGTTTGTGTAAGGCCGTTTGATTATTGTGTATGTGGTTGGTATCAGAACGAACTCAGGTGAATGTTATGTATCAGATCGAGTCCGTGGGCAAATGAAGAATCGAGGGCACGCGTGTGCCTTGAAATATTAAAGTGTGTTAAACGTGTGCGCACATATCTTTAATAACATCTTCCTATATCACTGTCACGTCTTAGTAATAATTGTAGATGTGTATTCTTTACAATATGTACACTTAATATTATATTTTTTATGACTAATTACTAGCGAAACACTAGAAAGCTGCAGTGTGCATTTGAATCTAGAGAGATGGCAATAATAGTATGAATAATTTCTTTGGTTTGTTTTCTTTTTTAAGTAATGTAGCTTTGACACACAGGCACACAAACTGTTTGTGAGAGCGAGTGTGTGAATGTTGAAGAAGCTCTGTTTGTTTTTGCACTTTTAAAAACTTGATTTTGATACCAAATGCAATGTTAGTGGCGGTACGACGACGATAACGAAGCCCTCGGGTGTGTGTGCATTTGTGTTTACAAGCCGTTTGTTGTGTAGTTGAAATTGCAGATGTTTGCATGTGCAAGTGTGTTTGTGTTATAAGAGCGAGACCCGAGAGAAATGTCGACCGATCGGTATTCTGTGCTTGAATGTTATTCATATTTTAAGTTTATTTTTATTTTCTTATTACTATTTTATTTTTTGCCAAATATTTTCGTTAATATTCCGTCTTTCGCCCGTTATGGATAACCGGGTTCTATTCTCTCCTCAAGACTGAATTCTTTCTCATTTCTCATCGTTACTTCATTCATTTTTGTGGTTAAATTGAATTCGGCACTGAATTCAGGGGTGGAATAGCAGTCAGTCTTTACTAGAAATAAGACACAAATCCCCCTTTATCTCGTCTTCCGCGTAGACTTCTGCTCTTTATTAACCACTTTTTCTGAGTCTCATCCCGTCCAAACATTTGTGATTTGTTTATGCATTTGCAGGACATGAACGTGAGGGAAATTTAATTTAGTGATGTAAGAATTATGCCAATATAATACCACAGTTGGTCATTCTAATTGACACATTCTTTCAATCAGAGTTTCATATCCTCTTCTTCCTCCACACCACCATAAAAATTTGATAGCTGAATAAATACATTTACAGGTAAATGAATAAACCGATGCAGCAGAACCGGCAATGTGAAATCCATGTTTATGTTGTTATTTTCTTTTCAGCTCTTGTATGTGTTCATGTACCTAAAAACACAAACGCATACTGTACATTATGAACTGGTACAATATTTTGTGGTATGTCCTGCCTTGAGCATCTGTCCATGGTGTGAAACTGGAACACTGGTCTGTTGTCATTTAGTCAAATGCCTTTTCAATGTAAACTGATGCTGGTAGTTTCTTTTCTTTCAACCGTTTTTTTAATATATATATAATGCGATACTGTACTACATGTCATCTGTTGTCAGAGTTAGGCTTTAAAATCAGATATCAAATAAATATTTAAAATGGCTTTGTGTGTCAAATGCCAAAACACCTTTTTTTTTTTTTCTTCCAAATTAATAAACTAAACCTATGTACATGCATAATGTAAACATTGGCAATGTATATTTCATCTAGCTAGAAACCACTTTCCACAAATGGGGATTGCAGATGATGAATGCAGTTTACATTGTGATGAAAATTAAACCGTTTTTTTAAAATGATAGTAATTGGGTAAACAAAGGTAAGGTAACACAATAAGGTCACTTTAGATTACATTAGTTACTGCATTAACATTAACAATGAGCAATCCATTTGTTACAGTGCTCATTAACATTTGTTAATGGTCATTAACTGTTCCTTGTTAGGTAATGTTTACTCACTTCCAATAAATAATGTTAGCAGGTACAACTTGATTTTAATAATGTGTTAGTAAATGTTGAACTTAACATTAACTAAGATTAATAAATGCTTTAGAAGTATTTTTCTTTGTTCATGTTAACTAATATTTCACTTTATTACCTTAAATTATATATGTCTGCACTGTACTGTCACACTTGGCAATAAACCTCTTTCTGATTCTGAACTAATGCAGTTAATGGGGAAAAATGAATATAAAGTTTATAAACATGCCAAAAATAAAACTTAATGTGCTTTACATGTTCAAACAGTAAAACGTTCACAATGTCAATATACTTTGGCAAATCAAGGCATAACGTTTATTATACATATTTCATACACATTGATCATTCAAAGTGTTTTACATAAGACAGAAAAATAAAAGCCAAAACTTTTAAAAATAATTTACGAATAAGGAATAAATAAAATATATATATATATAAAAAAAAAAAACATTTTGTATAAACGTGATCTCAATCGTTATAAAACCTTATATTCATTAATGACAAAGTTACATTGAAGTGTTAAAGTAGGTCCACTTTTTCATTGCAAAATAATAACATCTGAATATTAGCCTGTAAATGTGTGCATCATTTCTGAACGTTAAGGAATTCAGTGCCTGATTAATTTAATGCAAAATTAATATTCTGAAAATGTAGTTGGTTTTACGTTGGTAACACTGTACAATATGGTCTCAATTGTTAAAGGGATAGTTTACTCAAAAATTCTGTCATTAATAACTCACTCACCCTCATGTCATTCCAAACACGTAAGACCTTCGCTCATCTTCAGAACACAAATGAAGATATTTTGGATGAAATCCGAGAGCTTTCTGACCCTCCATTGACAGCAAGGGAACTGCCACGTTCAAGGCCCAGAAAGGTACACTGTAAAAGAAATTCCGTTAAAAAAATGCCAGCTGTGGTTGCCGGAATTTTACTGTAAAAAAATACGGTAGCAACGTTTTAGGTTTTACAGTTTTAACTTAAATTTACAGTTAAATACCGTAATTTCATTAACTGATATAATGTTAATATACCAACCTATTGAAGTACTGAAATCTGTTTTGTACCTTTGTAATACACTGATAACCACCAAATGCAGGTGGTGATGAGAAAGTCACATGATGAACCAAAGCCCATCACAAGCAGCTTTTAAATAATAACATATATAGAAGGTGCACGGTGTCATTCACACAAACACCAAACACCATCATAACACACATGAAACTGAAATAATGCAATAAACATTCATTTAACAACATTAGGTGTAACACACAACCCTAATATACAAAATGGATAAGAAAAAACTAAGAAGAAACAGTTATTTCAACAAAAAAAACATCAAATTTGAAATATAACGCAGGGAATTCTGGGAATGTCAATTTACGGTTATTCACTGTAAATTATACAGTCTTTTTCACTTCCAAAAACGGTATACTACCGTAAAATTAATGTCCAATACAGTTTTTCACCGTATATAGTAGGGGAATTTACCGTTAACCATTTAACAGGATTTTACTGTAGCATTTTTACAGTCTTTTACCATTAAATTCATGGTCATTTTTTACAGTAAGACATCATTAAAATAGTCCATGTGACATTAGTTCAACCTTAATTTTATGAAGCTACAAGAATACTTTTTGTGTGCAAAGAAACCAAAAATAATGACTTTATTCAAAGATTTCTTCAGTGTTGCGTTCACGACAGTACCACGACACGTGTGTGCATACTTCTGCTTGTAAACAAGACTCAGCACATGCGCGTTCTACATCAGAACGCCGGCTCCTGTGTCAGCAGCATCACACGCATGCGTCGTGGTACTCTCGTGAATGGTAGCGGAAACTGACCGGAAGAGAAGACATTTTTGAATAAAGTCATTATTTGTGTTTTCTTTGCGCACTAAGTATTCTTGTAGCTTCATAAAATTAAGGTTGAACCACTGATGTCATATGGACTATTTTAACGATGTCTTTACTACCTTTCTGGGCTTTGAACGTGGTAGTTCCCTTGCTGTCTATGGAGGGTCAGAGAGCTCTCGGATATCTTCAAAAATATCTTAATTTGTGTTCTGAAGATGAACGAAGGTCTAACACATTTGAAACGACATGAGGGTGATTAATTAATGACAGAATTTTCATTTTTGGGTGAACTATCCCTTTAATGTATTAGCTAACATGAACTTAACAACAGACAATATCTTTTTTACAGCATTTTTAATGTTTGTTAATAGTTCATGGTTCATAGTGGATTAACAAACATAAATACAACTTTTGATTTAAAAAAAAAAACAAAAAAAAAACATGAGCAAGTAAATGTTGAAATGAACCAATATTAATAAATGCTTTACAAGTATTGTTTATTGTTGGTTCATGTTAACTCATTTTAATTAAATGAGAATGTATTATAAAGTGTTACTTTAATATCTAATGGAATGAAATTCATGCATTTTTAAATGTATTTTAAAATGTCCAAATGCAAGTTTGGGTTTACCATACCTAATGTTTTGCCTTATGTCATCATGAACATGAAACCAAAGGAATGAAAGAAACCTTCATCGAAAATTCCATGACTGCACTGAAAGTGAAAGTTCCCCTGGAGGCACGAGAGGGCGGTGCCTCAGGTGAGAGGAGGAGGGGCAGCTTAGGGAAGGGGCGTGGCTTGTACTGTGTGTGTGTAAGAGAGTAAATATTTTTCACTACTGGTGGAACCTGTCCGTCTACTTCACCAGAGACACACGGATACTCAGCCTGAAGTGCAGGACGTACAAAGAACAGTGGAGAGAACAAACACACATTTACCAGAAACCAGAAAGAATGCTGGACGGAGCGACAGTCTGGACATAGACCACCGGATTGGACATCGTAGATGAAGACAACACGCGTTGTGTTTGTGTTTGTTTACTTGACAGGTGCATCAGTGGGTTTGAGTTTGAATGAGACGTGTGTGTTTCTGAGGACCTTTAATGGGTAGAAGCATCCTGGATATGGGGGGATGTCAGAGTTACAGCAGCTCTGATGAAGAGGATGTCCGAGCTCTGAAGGCAAACTACACTAATGTCAGCCTGTTCAAATTGTGAGTATATACTTCACCCACACACACTAGATAAGCAGTAAAATAAGGAATGCATGCATCACACAAATGTCTGCTGAAGAGATAAGCGCCAGCATATCTTCAGTGAGAGAATGTGTGTGAGCATATCAGTAGTTTCATTTGTGCATCATGTTGGAAAAAGACTCCAAGTCAAAGGAAACTTCCACAAGTCCATGTGTGTTTGTGTGTGAAAACATGGACCCTCTGCACAAGGGTTTATGGGTAAACACACCTGGCTGCCACGGTGTGTATTTACATACTGCACACCTGTGCATAAGTGCAACTGGTCATTTTGGTGAAAAAAATGCATTGCTTGATTAGAAAATGTTGTCTAAAATTCTGTCTAAAACCAACACTTTATCCTTCATATAAGCATTAAACGCATGAAATAGCCATTTAAAACAAGTACCGTGGTACAGTAGTGGAAATACTGATATAGGCATGTGCATGGTTACATGGTACCCCAAGGTACTTGCATACCATGATATTACCACAATACATGCACAAAAACAGGGTACATACATTACCAATACCATTGTACCTGTAGGTACTTTTGTAGGGCAGTCACTTCAAAATTAGAAATACATGGTTCTTATATTTGTTAATATTTTAAACTGCTGTATCTAACATGTGACCTTTAATAGAATCTAACCTCACGTCAAGGAAATACTCAAAATAACTATTCAAATTGTTTTTTGAGTTTCCACTCTTTTCACCTAAACTAAAATAAACAGAAAACCTATGTATTATTTATGACTACAGCCATAATATGTACTTAACAAATTGGAAAACAGGAAACAAAAGTTCAGCAAGTCTATAATTAAATAATGTAACTGATAAATAATTTAAAAATAATAATAATTCAACTGATATATATATATATATATAAAATATGGAAGCCAATATCAAGTAAATATGGTTATTCGAGTCACTTTGATGTACAAAAGTTTACTGGAAAAATATATATTTATATATATTCTAAATGACCTCAATAAGTCACTTAAATGTACAAGAACTTATATATATATATATATATATATATATATATATATATATATATATATATATATA